GATTGTGTAGTAGCTGTATTTTGAATCAAATGATATGCATTAGTTGTTTCTATTAGTAGTATCAAAATTTATCCCAAAATAAAACTAAAAAAAACTCGTAAGTTTAGATTTGTACTTATTTCCCGTTGGCGTTATTAGCTCTCATATGGATCTCCGATTAATTAAAATTTATGTGTTATATATTTATTAAGAAATTTTTATTTTTATTTTTTATATTCAAAATTCAAATTCAATTATTTGGTTAATGAAAACGATATTCTATTTATTTCACCATAATTTTTTATATTCTCCTTTACAACGACAATCTAACAAAGTTTCATTCACGAATATTTTTTAAACATGTCTCATAATCAGTATTTTCAAAAATATTTTCGGAGTGAGTCTTGGAGCAGGGTATATCAAAACTGTTCTAGGGTGTAAATGAAAGGCGTAAATTTTTAAGAAAAATCTCAAACCGTTATGAATCGATAATTCAATATATAAAAAAAAACTTAAAATAATTACCAAAATCACTAAATAAATAACCTATTACTAATAAATCAATATATTTTTGTCAATTTGAATTATCAATTTCGATTCAGTTTTGAACCGCTCTACTTTTAGGTGACATTTTATATCATTTTGATTTTTTTACCATTCTGATATTGTGATATGATAAATATTAGTAGTATATAATTTTTTGCATAACTTGTAACTTTCACATTTTTCAATTGAAGAAAATTAACCCAATATTTAAACTCGAGAGTTGATTGACTTTGATCGATAAAGGGGATTAAACAAGTTATAACCGACAGAGTAATTGAAATAAAATAACTAATCCTAGTAGCACAAACTAAAGTTATGCATTAGCTATGATATTGTTTTTGTATTAATTAAACTTTTTATGAAGTATTTTATATTTTCATCTTTAATTAAATGTAAATAGCATTGTTACTTGTAATTATTATTTAGTCACGCAAAGTAACCTTCAACTTAATTACATGATGTGAACAAATTTAATTTGTCTTTTATGAATTGTTTGACTGTGGTATTTTAAGTAAATAATCTCAATATAATTAAAGATAATATTTCTCGTGTCTCAGTTTATGTAGTTTAGTTTGAATTTGAAAATTAAACAATTGTATTTTTTATTGTGAATTTGAATATAAAAATATATAAATTTATTTGAAATTAAACAAAAACTATGTGAATATGTATGATTGGAGATTTGGAGAATTTATAGTTTTTTAATGTATATTTTATTTCAAATGAATTTATATATTTTATATTCGAATTCACAATAAAAATTTATTTGTTCAATTTTGAAATTCAAACTGAACTACATAAACAGAGACACGAGGAATATTACGTATGTTGAAATTATTTACTCAAAATACCACCATCAAACAATCATAAAAGACAAAGTGAAACTGTTCACATCATGTATCATGTGATTAAGTTGAAGGTTACTTCGCGTGACTAAATAATGATTACAAGTAACAATGCCATTCATATTTAATTAATGATGGAAAATCAAGGTTATTTGCGTGACTAAATACTGATTACAAGTAACATATAATGCTATTCACAATTAATTAATGATACAAAAAATCTTAATTTCTCAATTGAACGTATTATCACATGGTATAGATTGAGATTAATTAATTATATACAAATCTGCCAATAACAACACATGAAACCATTAGTTTCCTAATAGATAGTTTAATATTAATACATAAATGATAAAAAAAAAAAATTGTATCGATAACTTACACCAAATTAATATAACTTATTATAGTAGTAAAGTAATTTAGTAAAATATAATATCTTTTAATTGATTATAATTAAATAGAAAATTATATATATACACAACATTTTAATTTCACTAAGTAAGATTTGGAGAGATATAATGTATGTATATTTTATCTTTACATTTTGCTCGTCTTGAATAAATTGTAATAGAATACTAAATAATAACAAAATTATTACGTAACATTTTTTAAAATACAGAATTAATACATCTTAATTCGTTGTCATCTTATCCCACCGATTTGATAATATAAAAGACTATTGAAATTAATTGCCCAGTTTAGTAATTATCCAGATAATTAATACATGTCAATATATTGATACAAATATTTGGAAGATTCATAAATAGTTAGAGAAATAAAATGAAAATCTCGTGCTCTGAAAAGATGCAACCAACTATTATTCATGTGATGATATGTTTATATATATAATTACAGAAATAAGAGTGAAAATCTCGTGTTCTGAAAAGAAACAACACAAATTCTTTTCAGAGCACGTGATTTTCATTCTTATTTCTTTAATTATATATAAACATATTATCACATGAATAATTGTTGGTTGTTTCTTCCAGAGCATGAGATTTTTATTTTTATTTTTATTTCTCTAACTGTTTATGAATCTTTCAGATATTTGTATAAAGATTGTTTTGGTCAAATTAAAAAATTAAATCACGTTTTTAATTTTAGAAGTTATTATAAATATTAGATATCAATTGCCTAATCTCGTCTACAAAATTAGGCAATATATGAAAAAATATTAAATTTGAATTTAATATTGTTTGAAAGGATATCTTTTAAAAGAATTATATTGCACACAAATAAAATCTAAATAATAACCTAAAAATAAAATATTTGAGTAAATTAACCTATGAAATGAACATTTATTTGAAAGCCTTTAATAGATTAAAACCTTGTCTACAAAATTAGGCAATATATGAAAAAAAATATTAAATTTGAATTTAATATTGTTTGAAAGGATATCTTTTAAAAGAATTAGATTGCACACAATTAAAATCTAAATAATAACCTAAAAATAAAATATTTGAGTAAATTAACCTATGAAACGAATATTTATTTGAAAGCCTTTAATAGATCAGAAAGTTTTAAATTTTATATTTGTCAAGTGATTAAATTAAACATGCATATATACATTTGATCATGATTAACTGATAGGTTTAGTAAGTAGAAAACATGACATGTATTTATTGATATGTGTTTAAAGTTGATCAAATGTCAAATTTTAATATTATAATAAATTATTATTAAAAATATTTACATTTGTGGAACTATTTTAGTACTAGAGTAATATTTACACTAAAAGTATATTAATTAATTAATCTGGTATTAGTAAAAAAAAAGAATAAATACCGTGAATTTATATATTTAATACAAACTAGATAGAGTGTTATATTAGAAGAATTTTTGTTTTTCATTTTTTTAACAATTTAAAGGTAATAAATTAATTAAATCTATGTAAATTAGAAATTCACATTTAAGCCATATCTTAGTGTTATTTATGCTTAAAATCTAATCAAAACCTAGGTTAAAAAATTAGTAAATTCATTAAAAAAAAAGTAGTTAATTCTTATATCCAACTTGTAAATCTATTAAAAAACGCAAGGTAAAAAATACATAATAATTCTCCTTAAATAAACTTTTTAACCTAATCGATTTAATCTTGGACAATAATTTGAATATGTTTGAGGAAGATTATGTACTTAAACATCTAAAAAAGCAGAAGCTAGTCATTATTTTATTAAAATATATGATCTCTATGTATTAAAACTTTTTTATTTTTAAAATATTTATTTAGCTACACGTACTTGCTACCTTTAAAATTCATATTTACAAATTTACATTAGCTAATGATATTCCAAAATTTTCTGCTATGGCTAAAATTTAGTTGATTCCCGCCTTTTTGGGACAATTATTAATAGCTTGTTGAAATAACTTTTGATAGGTCATTTTTAGAATAGTCGTGTTTTATGCTTTACAAATTTCGTCATAAATATTTTACACTTTTTTCTTAAAAAAAAAACGACACAAATATAACTAAATAGGCATGAAATATTAGTAGAACATATTTTTATAATGCATAAGAAACTTATTCAATGTTACGGTTTTATCAAGTTCCTTCAAATTTTCATTCAAAGGACAATCATAACTTTTACGTTATCGATGCTACTTTTAACACTCTTATACAAAAGAACTCATTAAATAAAACCTGATCATGGTGTTGCATTTTAATTTGAAGGAGAGTTACCAGTGGTGGTTCCAACCTAATAAGGCCTCCAAATTTCTTTTAAAATTTTATAGTGTTGATGGAACTACCATTAATTGGTTCCTTTTATGATTTGCTTGGGCATTATGTGTTCATCACTAAGATATAATTTTCTATATAAGAATTGTATGGTGTGCTTATAACTAATGAATTTCTTAACAAATACGAAAAGATAAATCATAAATTATTTAAAATAATATAATAAATTAGGAATATGTATTTACATCATATCGTAATGATATCTAAATTAAAAAAATCTAATCAAAACCTAGATTAAAAAAATAGTGATGTCATTGAAAAAATGTACTTAATTAAAACCTAAGGTAAGAAACATTATAATTAATTCCTTATAAATACATTTTTAAACATAATTACATCCTCATCTTTTTCTTGTTTTTTTCAACAGTGTGGTTTCTTTATCACATTTTTAAAAATACAATTAAATTAAGTTGAATTAAATACTCCCAACTATTTTATCCTAATACTTTTTTTTATACCTGCCATAACTCGTTTAGCACCCCACCCCCCGCGCTACCCCACTACCCCCATCACATGTTTCCTCAATCATTCTCTTTCTTAATTCACTTTCCTTTCCTCCAATCATATCATTCAGTTTTTTTTTTTTTAGATAATATTATATATTTATTTATATTATTATACTATACAGTTTTTAAATAATATTATGTATTTATTTATATTGTTATACTATACAGTATATATAAATAAGTCCTATACCATATGAAAATAGAAAAAAAGAAAAACATTTCTCTTTCTGCACGTCTCTGTAAGTGTGTATTCATCTCATTTTTTTTTCTTTCTTCCTTTTTTCTCCATTTGGTGTTATGCTCGATCGTGTCCACTTTTTATGGGCTTATGTTCTGGTAAATTTTAGATTTTTTTTTACTCTCTTTTCCTTTTTTCTTTTAGAGTGGTTGATTTTGGTAATACTGTTGTTGTTGAGGTTCTTTCTTTTGTTTTACTTTGTGGGTTTGTGTTGAAATTGAAGTCTGTGAAGTTATTTTCTTGAGGATGTTTTTGGTTTGTTTGGTTTTAGCCTAGTTTTATAGGTTTTAACTTGTGTGAGTTTGCTGAGTGTTTCTTGCATGACGTTTTTTTTTTGTTTGTTGATGTTTATTTGTTGTGTGCTGATATTGGGTTTTGAGAAAGTTGGGAACTTTAACTTCATTTAAGTGGTTTTGTAATGGAGTAAAGAAACGATCTTTAACTCATACCTCTAGAATTGGAATTTGTTGTTTTAGGTGCTTGTTGAGTAATGAGGTTTTTTTCTTTCTGAGGGAACACTTTTTTTTGTTTGTTGATGTTTATTTGTTGTGTGCTGGTATTGGGTTTTGAGAAAGTTGGGAACTTTTACTTCATTTAGGTGGTTTGTAATGGAGTAAAGAAACGATCTTTAATCTCACACCTCTAGAATTGGAATTTGTTGTTTTATGTGCTTGTTGAGTAATGATTTCTTCTGTCAGTCTTTGTAGGGTTAAGGTCCGCCTCAGACCCCACTTGTGGTTGTTGTTGTACTTTTAATGTCCAAAATTAGAGCTTTGGTGAGTGGTTGTGCTGGTTTTGTTTTGAGATGAATGAATTTGTCCATCAACTGATGATGGTCTAAATTCTTCTGTCTCATTGTTTATTGCTCAACTTTTATGCTCAGTTATCTGGGAAGATGTTTAGTAAGATTGGGAAGAATAGATGTTTGCTGAGTAGCCTGATCGGTATCTTGGCCTCATTTAATTATTACCAAGGTAGAAACAAGGAGTCAGGTCTCTATTAGGAATTGAAAGTTGCTTTTGAAAAAAAGCCTAGTTCTTTAATTAAAGTTGGTGTCTTTGGGGGCTCTCCACGAGGTAGGGTTAGGGCTTGCGTACACTCTACACTCCCCAGATCCCACTTGTGGGATTACACTAGGTAAGTTGTTGTTGTTGTCTTTGGGGGCATCTTGTGGTTCTAGAATTTTGAGGAGAAGCATCTTGCACCAAGTTGAAATAATTGACTGATTGGTGTAGCTGTGGACCCAAAGATGACTATCATCTGTTTGCAAGTGTACAGCTTTACCCATAATTTAAGAAGTTGAAAGCTGAAACAGGAGCAAGAGAGGTTTAGAATTTTTATTATGCAGTTATCTTTGCTCTCTATTAGAGCTGGTAAAGAGCTCTTAATGTTGTATCAACTAGCATTCCCAGCCTGTATATCACACCTGTTTGGTTGTAATTTTTTTTGTTAAATGCTCTCTGGTTTCTTTAGCTAATGTATATGAATGCAAACTATGAAACCCCCCAATTCATCAGAAAGAAAATGAATAATGCAGAATAAAATCACATAGCAAATGTGAAGGTGATAGGAGAGACTCAACCCCAGATGTTCCTTGCAATCACGTAATGTTGACAATATCACTTGAGAATATACGCTAGTTTGTTTTAGGTAGCTTGTGTGCACTTGATCTTAGCTGGATTGCTTACCGATTTGTTAAGTTGGCTTTTTCTAGATTTTATTTTAAATGTAAAAGGCAGCATTGCATGGACAAGTGTTTTCAACTGTGCAATGGTCCCTGGAGATTCTCCAGGAATGATACTGTATTTATTAACTGGCCCTAATTATGCTGCATGACAGATCTTCTGAAGATGCCAATTATAAATGTATCTAAAGAAAAGGGAAGAACACCATGGGAGATTCGTCCAGGATCTAATTCCGTCCTTATCACTAATGACGCTTCTCTTTTCACAAGCTCAGTGCCTGTTCTTCAACATGAGAAGCGTATGAATACATTGATGAGTCTTGTACTCATACTGCATTTGTCCATTTTCTTTTAGAAAATCCCACATCTTCTTAATGTCTTTGAAATTCTTGGATGTAGTGAAAGTAAGTGACGGCGACCATGGCCATCAATCTGTTGATGATGCATCACCAAGCTTGAAGATAATTCACCCGGATGTAGAGGTTGATGTGCTGCTGGATGATGGTGAAAATCGTGCAATTGGAAGCTTGCTTCCTGATGACGAGGATGAACTTTTAGCTGGGATAATGGATGGGTTTGACCCTAGTCAGTTTCCCAACCACACAGATGACTTGGAAGAGTATGATATTTTTGGAAGTGGAGGAGGCTTAGAGTTGGAGTTTGATGGTCAGGAACACTTAAACCTGGGTATATCGAGAGTAAGTCTGGCTGATCCAGATAGCAATGGAGCTGCTATTTATGGACTTTCAAATGGTGGGGGTGCGGTTACCGGAGAACATCCACTTGGAGAGCACCCTTCAAGAACATTATTTGTTCGCAACATAAATAGCAATGTTGAGGATTCTGAGCTAAGAACTCTCTTTGAGGTTAGTTGCTTTACACTGGATAACTATGATCTTTGTAATTTCACGTGACCCTCTTTTCCAGTTTGTCAGTGCTCATTCCTAATGTGTTCCCTGCATATGTATAACTAGTTTTCATGAACGTGTGTTGCATGTTGATCTTCAATCTTTACCTAAAGTTTGTACTACAAAATAGTTAACCAGAAAGATCTTTAATTGAAAGCTATATCACTTGAGGAAATATTTGTGGTTACCAAAACAAGAAGAGCTGTTCAATTATTTTTTCTAAGTCAATTTGAATTAGTTCCAATAGGTGAATTTGGGTTTGTTTTATTTTCTTTAAAGGGTGAATGTAGAAATAGAATCACACTATGTGGAAATGATATTGAATTTATTAATATAATTTGCATGAGTTTTGCATGGCCCTCATGTTAACTAAACAATCAAGGTGTTAGACTGTATGGATGAATGATAATTCAACTTTAGCCTTAGAACCTTCCCACTTTTAGTGTAGTATATGATATGATGGTAATATAATATAATATAATTTGATGCTTTGTCTAGTTAGGGATGGGTTCTGCTTGTCAGTTTAATAATTGGTCTAGAACCATATTGCTTCCCGGTCTTCTTTTTTGAAATGCTGGATGAATATTTATGTAGAAAGATTTCTTTTCTGTAAACAATTCGCGAGGGTATTAGTAGTTGAAAAGAAGAAGCTAATGGGTTTGTCTTTTGCAATTTCTGGAGGCTTCATCCCGATCCCAAAGCTTTTGTATTTCTTTAATCTTGATCAGTTGAACTGACTAAGGTTCTACTTTTTCCTTTTGGTACAAAACAATGATGTTCTGCTTATTGTGAGTTTATCTTGTACTGATAGTATTACCTTAGTCGAGTAAATTCACTGGGTATCTGTGTTCATGAGATGCTTCATTGGTTATGGAAACCTGTTAATCTTATTATTCTATTGTTGCATGAGATGCAAATTAAGCTGAGCATGGAAAATGTCAAAGCACTGGGCTAGGTGTTTGTAATATCGCATTTGAGTCTAATGGTTGCTTGACAGACAAGAATGTATTGTAAAGTTGTTGATTTATAAGGTGTTTTTTTCTCCTTGTAATCATTTTCAGTTTTTAACATGCCGCTCTTTTTCTTTTCTCTTATAATTAGCAATATGGTGATATCCGAACTCTCTATACTGCCTGTAAGCATAGGGGCTTTGTCATGATATCATACTTCGATATTCGTGCTGCTCGAACTGCAATGCGAGCATTGCAAAATAAGCCACTGCGAAGGAGAAAACTAGACATACATTTCTCAATCCCTAAGGTACTTCTTCGTCTGCTACTTTGAATGGTTTTACACAATTACATTGTATGCTATTTTTTTTGAAAATTAAAAAATAAAAATTGAAAATTATTACATAGTATGCTATTTATTTGTTTTGTTTCCTGGCTAACCTCCTCTCCTTGTCCTGTTATTCTTCTCTCTGCCCCTCAATGTATTATATCAGGACAACCCCTCTGACAAAGATGTAAATCAAGGAACTCTTGTGGTTTTTAATCTAGATCCATCTGTATCAAATGATGACCTCCGCAAAGTATTTGGGCCTTATGGTGAGATCAAAGAGGTCAGAGACTCGATTAGTCAAACCATTTGTTTCCCATTTTACTCCATCTATTCATTTTCCCTCGTGTGCTTCCTCAAGGAGCTAGTTTATGTTGAGTACATATGACATCCCACTTTCTCGAATTGCAGATAAGGGAAACACCACACAAGAGGCACCATAAGTTTATCGAATATTACGATGTCAGAGCTGCAGAAGCTGCCCTTAGGTCCTTAAATAAGAGTGCCATAGCTGGCAAGCGGATAAAGCTTGAACCAAGCCGCCCTGGAGGAGCTAGACGAAAGTGAGTAATTCACTTTAACTTTTTTCTTGATAAAAAAAGAAAAACTAGCACTTTCGGAGCTTATGGTAGTCCTTTGTTTCTGAATCATGAGCTTCGCTACCATTTTGCTGTTACAGTAACTAGAACAATTACATTTGATTTAGACCTCCCCCCTAGGAGCCACTGTCGGAAGTGTGGCAATGTTTTGTTTTTTCCTTCCTTTTGTTTTCTTTCAGTTTTGCTGAATTAGATTACAGAATGGTGATCGACCAGCAAGCTCTCCCAATCTTCCCACACCCTTATGCAAGGAAAAAGGAAATTACTTGAGCCCTCAATTGATGAGGAAAACAATGGAGATTCTGTATCACTTAAGAAGTATGCCTTTAGAGCGTTGGTTTGTGAAGGAGTTAGTCGTCTGTATTACCTTGATCTGAGTGGCAAACACTAGACAAATCTTCTGCTGTGTATACACCTTTTCCAGGCGTCTCCACTATTTTGATTGAGCAGGAATGACTTGAGAGGCTTACCTTTTGTTTGAAAGGAATTGGAAAAAAATACTTAGACAATTGACTAATATAGAAATCTGGGATTCTGATAAATCTTTTTACAGTTGCTTGAGGTCTGGATACTATTGTAAGAAACGTTATGTCGAATAACTCCTTTATGGTCTAGCACCTGTGATATTTTATCTATAGGAAAAGGATAAGTTAATATTGTTGCTGGGTGGGTGTAGGTCTGTGGATATTCCAGTGGCACAATTTTAATAAAACAATGTTGTCGGGAATGAGAGAGTGGTATGTGAGTTTTAAGATTTACACGAGATCATCTCAAAAATGCCAAAGGCCAAAGATTTGAGCCTTGAAGGATTAGGCAATGGAAGGAATTAGTACTATTGCATCCATCTACTCTCTTGTGACAAGTTCTTACTTGGTGTGTGTGTGTGTGTATATGTTCTCTACTGTAGAGAGAAATGAGGAAAGTAAAAGTAGTTTATACATCTGAAAGTACGTGTAATCACATGAACGACTTAAAATGGCATGATGTTGTCCCTTTGCACTCCTTTTTTTCTTCGGTTTAAACCATGTTTATTTGTATTACTGAGATTCTTGAGCTTCTTAAGTGGGCTACACATCAGGTGCTTCTCCTTCCTCCTGGACGCTTCTGCTCTTTATATACCCTTGAGCTTGAGCTCTCATGAACATGCCGTCATACTATATCATTTTCATATCAACTAAATTCTAGATCTTGTTGATGTTCATAATGAGTCTCTTTTTGTTGGATGTTCCTTCAAGTTAGTTTACCTTAGCCACAAATTCAAGGTTGCATTATTTAATATGTTTCTGTTTTTGCGCTGTTACATATTTGGGTTCAGTTTCTTGAATCTTGATTTTTGATCTTGGCATTCTTTTTTTTCCCCCCTGTGTTGCACTTGTAGTCTTGTATTGCAATCATCTCAAGAACCTGAACAAGATGATTCTTGGACTTTTCGGCATCCATTGGGTTCCTCAATTGGTAATTCCTCCCCGGGTAAGTTTACTGAGGGTTTCGACTTCTTTGTATTGCTGAGACAATTGACGGTCTTTTTTTCCTTCTGTTTGTGCCTCTGTCTTTATTTTTTAAATTTGGGTCGGTACAAAAGAGGGGGGGGGGGTGTACTTGATTAATTGAAACTTCTTTGATTGCAGCTACACTATCTGATAGTATGGGTATTGCTTATATTTCTGTCAGGTAATTGGCCACAATTTGGCAGCCCTATAGAGCATGGCTCCACGCAAAGTCCTGGCACTTCACCAGGCTTTAGATCCCTGAGTCCCACCATTGCCAATAATCTACATGGGTTAGCTTCAATTTTGCATTCTCGTGCATCAAATACCTTGACGGTAGCACCTATTGGTAATGCTCGCACAATGAGCGGTCATGCAGATTTCCCTATTGGTTCAAACCATGGTGTTCCCTTCGCTCAGTCTAATTCTTTCCCTGAGCCTAAAATAAGCCAGTTTGGTGGAACAGTGTCCTCTTTTGGTGCTTCAAGTACAAATGGTTCTGCTGTTGAAACACTCTCAGGACCACAGTTTCTCTGGGGCAGTCCAAAGTTGCAGTCTCAACAGAGTAATTCTTCAGCCCGGAAAACTGAGTCTTTGGGGAATGCTTTTTCATTTGGTGGTCAGGGCGATAGGTTTTCCTTGTCAAATCATCAAAAATCTTTCCTCAATTCATCTCAGCACCATCATCACCACCTTCATCATGTTGGATCTGCTCCATCTGGTCTTCCCCTTGATAGGCACTTTGGTTTTTACCCAGACTCATCAATCTTGAGCCCAGGTTTTAGGGGCATGGGTATAGGTCCTCGTGATGGAAGTTTGATGGTTAACTATGGTTCTCGTACTACTTTGAATGCTGGTGTTGCTGTTCCAAGGAATATGTCGGACAATGCTTCTCCTAGATTTGGCATGATGTCTTCCCAAAAACTTGGTCCATTGTTCCTTGGTAATGGTCATTTCCCAGGACATGCAGCTACTAGCTTTGAGGGGCTGACTGAACGCAGTCGCACTCGACGTGTTGACAATAATAATGGGAACCAGATGGACAACAAGAAGCTGTTTCAACTTGATTTGGATAAGATTAGATGTGGTGAAGATACTCGGACTACTTTGATGATTAAAAATATTCCTAACAAGTAATAGCAACTTCTCAATGCTTGTACCTTGTTAAGTATGGCCTATTTTAGTATGGGTGACAGTTGATCTTGTCTTCCTCCAGGTACACCTCCAAGATGCTTTTAGCTGCTATTGACGAACAACATAAAGGCACTTTTGATTTTCTGTATCTGCCCATCGATTTCAAGGTAATCCTATAGTAGTTAGGATTATGTGGTTTCCTTTTTGTTTCTCAAAGTCTGATGGAAATCCTTGTTTGCGAGCAGAACAAATGCAATGTGGGATATGCCTTTATCAACATGTTGTCTCCATCACTCATTATCCCATTTTATGAGGTTTGTTTTTGTCTATTCTGTTAAATGTATTGTATTACTTTCTTTTCCTAAAGTGATTGGGCTATGAGCTTTGAAGCTATGTCTCTCCTTGTTGTATAATAGTTCCTGCCTTCCTGGTTATATATAAAGGTTGCTATGCCTTCTTAATTATCTCTTCCTTCTATTGTTTTTGCACTCTTGAACTTTTGAAGCAAAAGTGTGGTGCTGAGTATTTACTTTGTGCAGGCATTTAATGGAAAGAAGTGGGAGAAATTCAATAGTGAGAAAGTTGCTGCTTTGGCTTATGCTCGGATTCAGGGAAAGACGGCCCTTGTTGCCCACTTCCAGAATTCAAGTTTGATGAATGAAGATAAGCGATGTAGGCCAATCCTTTTCCACTCAGAAAGTTCAGAATTGGGGGATCAGGTAATATAGACCATCTTGTTAAGAATTAAGCATGCAAAATGTAACTACTGTTATGTCGTGCATTGCGATCCAGCTAGCTTTGATTTTTTTCTCCTAGTTTTCAGGCTATATGATTGGATTTTTTTGTTGAGATGATAACATTGAAACTGCATCTTTTTCATCACAACATAATTGTATCTTAAGATGAAAACTTGCCTGCAGATTGTTCAGGAACATCTTTCATCAGGCTGCTTACATATTCAAGTCTGCCAGTCAAACGAGTCAGACATCCTGGGGTCACAAGGCAGCCCACCTGAGGATCCAGTTGACGAATTGGAGAATAGCTAGCAGTAGCATTGGAATTTATTTTTTTTGCTCGCGGCTTTAAGAGTGCAGCTGGCTAGTACAAGTGTGAGATACATGTGCAGAGTAGCATGATTTAAGGCACAGAATAGAAGTATGAAGATCTTTGTATTATAATGAGTAGGTGTTTTTGGTTAAAAATCTCTAAGAGGAAGAGGGTTCTGTTAGACTTAAGTACATCAAGCATCTGTGTAGGTTCATGTTGTAATCCTATGGCAAGTTGAAATGGCAAATGCTATCTCAACATGGCATGCAAGGTTATAGTTTTGTAACATTGTTTTGGTGGTTAGAGTGAAGAGGGGATGCTTGAAATTTGTAAAGTGGGAAGGAAAGCTGGCTGTTGTTTTGTATCAAACAAGCATTTTGGTATTTATATTGAACTTGCTAGAAAATTGCATAACAAAATTGCTTGTTTCATTTTTACTTTTCATCTCATTCAACTTTTCAAATTAACTCCTCTCTTCTAAGTTTGCCTTTGTTTATGTTTTCTTTTCCAAGGGGAGAATTATGTGAAGTTATTGAATAGAGGATGCCACAGAATTATGCTAATGGCTATTGTTATTCCTTATTGTCGTAATGTTTTCTCTATTAACTTGCTATGCCCTTTTTTGTAGTTAGTCTGTTACTTGAGCCGAGAGTCTTTCTAGATGGAGACAACTTTTCTACCTCCTCAAATTAGGGTAGGGTTTACGTGCATGCTACCCTGCAGATTATTCTAGAAGCTTGGATGGAAAACCTAGAAAAACATATGAAATAATGTTAAGCTCCTTGCATTCACGTTAAGATTGTGAATAATAATACATGTGCTTGTAGATGATTATAGCAGATTATTCAATGAATTAATTGAGATGCATGCATACGTATCTGACCAGTGCGATTTTGATGAGATATAGTACATTAAATTTCCAATACGTAACTGACGCATAGGATGTCCAGTGGAGTAGTAAAGAAGCGCATGTAGACATTACAATCCCCATACATAGCTTGCCTCAGACACCATGATTATATTATTATACAAAAGTACATGAATTTCTGCAAAATTACTCAAGTTTTTGTTGATACTCTCCCTGTTCACTTTCACTTGTCCATTTTAGGCTTTTGCACCCCTTTCAAGAAACAATGATCAATATGCATACTTTAACCACAATCCCACATTAATTGATATTTAGTCTTAGGTCTTAAAAATGATTTGGGGAATATTTGTTCAATTCATTCAAATGAATGGAACTCTTCTAACCAGCATAACACTGTTGGATCATTTTATTTGAGAAGATAGTTATACAGTGTTCTGATACAAACAATATACAACATCCACATGAAAATAAATCCTATACTGCTGATAATAATAATTATGTACAAGGTAGGAGATTCACAATCAACTCCAAGGCTTCATAGGCTCTAGAAATACCAGATATATTCTTATTACAGAAAAAGAGATTTACCTGAAGTGCAAAGAAGAGCTAAAGGTACTTTGAGATAGGACACTCTGCCTGCATCCAAATTTGGACCATGTTTGTCTAGATTTCCATTTCTTGAGTTGCTTCCAATTTCGGACCATGTTGTGTAGGTTTCGATGTTTGGAGTTCCACGTCGATTAGGAAATAACATTTGTCTTCCTCTCTGACATAACGGACATGTCCATTCATTACATTGAGAAGTTTCTGGGAAACATTTAACGCGATTCCTTCTTGTGTTGTCCATCTATTTCTTTCTCCAGACATGTCATCAATTAGAGCAGCAGGTAGTCCTTGGCCAGGGTGAGTCATTCTAGCAAATAAAGTGTGTTTAATTTCACATAAACATTTATCAATAGAAGTAATTACCATATACATTTAATTATTGAAAGGCTATGCAAGGTGGTTTAGCTGATTATGACAAAGATGTTTACAGTTACAAAGTAAGACAACTGACAAAGTTCTTCCTGATTTTCTACTCCTCACTTCAAAAATTCAAAGTGAGCGTTTGATAAAAAAACAAATTCAGCTAAATGAATGAAGCACCATAATATTTCCTATGATTAGATTAAACTCCGCGAAGCACTTCAACTGATTAGGCGTTATACATTGCACGGTTGCATGAAAACAGATACCAGATAAAATGGGTAAGCTCATGTACTTATGTAGCAAACCATCAATAGATAAATAGCACTGAAGTAACCTGAACTGGAGGTGGATTAATTCATTTCCATCTTGTATAAGTTTCAAGCCAGGTAACACCTTGATTTCCACCCAACCATCCGGAGAAGGGGCATGGTGCACTACACTAAGCAAGAAATCTGACAGAACACGCTGAAGCTTAATTTGATCACCATATAGAGGAAGAGTTTTGATGTGGTCAGGGATATCATGCAGCAGCTGTAAGTTCTTTTCTTTCAAGAAAATCATTACTTGACTCACAATAGCATCCACAACATTTCCTAGAACGAATTCCTCCATGTTTAGCTCCACTTTGCTGCTAGAACCAGGAGAAAGTAATGTGCATTTAGCAGACCTTTCAGCCATAGAGAAACAACAGAAAGAGAAACAAAGAAGCAAGTATCAACATACATATATTATGGTAGCTTATTGTTGCACTAGCAAATAAAAAGAGACGTTTACAGTAGATTTTAGAAGAAGACTATAAGCTTTTAATGTGTTTGCAGTCTTTTGGGTACTTCTCTCTCTTTTTCTTTGGTGCTCCTGTAAACTGATTCAACTCCTTTGGAAAGCCGTTTCTAGTGAAATTAACAGTTAATGAGTACCAGCTACTCGAGATCGGGATGCAGTGTCCAATCTACACAAATTAATGTAAGCCGCAATAAGGGAAGAGTTGCTGTAAAGGAAAGAACAGTGGTAAGTGGTAACTGCTTCTTTGTAACCACTGGATGAACAACCCATTTAGAAGGTCTTCGAAGAACAGATAATAGAAATGGTTCTCTGAGATCATATATGATATTTTCTCCATCATAAAGTGACAACTAGTTGAGGTGGAAAATTGAAAAAACATAAGAAAGATAAAGAGTCATTTTAATCAAGTTCATATAGAAGAAGCATTACCCGTCCTCTATACCTCCAAAATCCATATTGTCAATAACAGACAGTATCTGTTTCTCACATGCTTCACTTGTCTCCAGAAGCTGTTTCTGATTATCTGAAACACCGGTTGCTTCAAGGAGTTTATGGGTAAACTGGATTCCATTCAGTGGATTTTTCATCTGCTGTAGTACGTAAGCATATTCTTTAAATTTCGAAAGGGAATCTTTATAGTCTTGTCTCTGATCTGACGCCTCTGGGTCAACCGTCGTAGGCTGCAGGAAGCAGAAACACCCACATATATTCCCATGCTCATCAGTTCTCTTGTTTGCTGTTAGGAACACTTCCACAAACTCTCCTGTCCTATTAAAAAAGCCAAATGGAAGCTTTTTGGTTTCATGACCACTAATTGCTTGGTAGAAAAGAATCATAAATTTTGTAAGGGCATCTTGTCCCGTAAGACGACAAAGACCACCAAAAACTTCACCGGGAAGAGTCCTCCCCATGACCTCATATTTTGTCCAACCAGTCAATCTTTCCATTGCTGCATTCCACTCCGAACAACAAGCATTTTCATCAGAAGCAAATATTGGTGGAATCAATGGACTAAGACTTTGTACAATAGCCTCATAATCTCCTCGCAACTGAATGAATTTATCCATGACAGATTTCTCAGGAGTGACATCTTGAGCCACAAAGCACACACCAACAACACCATTTTTGTGGTCCCGGCTTGTGCAGGTATTGGTCACAAGGTATATAACTGATCCTGGTGGATTTTTCCCAAACCTTCGCAATTTTATTTCCACATTTTTTTCCTCCTCACCTGAATCACAAGTTACAAAGATAGAGAGAGGGTGGGGAGTGAGAACAAGCTGGGGAATGTTAGTGTAAACTTCTGTGCTCAGGCTGTCAGTCAATTTTGACTTACCCAGAAGAGGAAAAATATCTATTTTAACTAAAAGAGTGCACTGAAAGAGCAACCCAAGTCTACTATGCAGTGGAGATGACTGACTAGTCAATGCTGAAAGCATAATATCGCCCCAAGTAATGCAGGTAACTATGCATATATTACAACAAACAAGATGAAAGGCCAATTGAATAAGTGTAGGTAGCCAATTCTCTTACCAGTAGGCCTGAATTTCAAATCTAAGAAGATACGCTATCATGTATGACTGCAACGCATAAAGAATGAAGATAAAATAACGCAATGAACAGATAGATAGAATTATAGCCATGCAGTATTAAGGACGTATCCAAATTTTAATGATTGCTATTAAGTCAAAATAAGAAGTACCTAACAGAGCTCTATGTAGAACGTTTTCAACAGTTCCACATGAATCTTCATGAGTAATATCATTAATGAGAGACATTCCAACAGCTTCACTAGCATGCAACCCTGTTAAGTCAGCAATCTTCTCATTCCATCCATTTATTAAGCCAGATGGATCAACTCCAAAAATTGGAGCAGTGGCTGTCTCAATCAATCTAACCATTTCCATTGCCACAGAACTAAGCTCATCCATGCTTGGCCCATCAGCATCATTCTGTTGAGAAGTAGTCAAAGTTTTTAGAGAGCTGTTTTCATTCTCTTGGATTGATTCTCTCATTATGATTTGTAGAGAATGAATGGCATTAATCTCCGGAATCTCCCATGGCAAACTTCTGCTTTTAACCACTTCAAGAAAGGCATTAAATGAAGATCGTGGGTGCATTTTTCCTCCATCATCTTTATCATCTGGATGATGCTTAGCACCTCCCCACTTGACTTCCTTAGCTGTGTGAGACCTGAACCAGAATAGAAAATCCTTGGAAGTAATTCTCGCAGTAGCCATGCCACAAACAGAATCTCCCAGTAAAGCCGCACCAGGATAACCAGCATCTGCAAGACAGTCGGTACTTAAACCTGTAGAGTCCTTATGAGCAACTAGTAACCACTGTGCAATATCTTTAACTTGTGCTTCAGTTGGTGTCACCCCAAGCAACCAACATTTTCCACCAGAATAAAGTGCAGCTCCATCACACTTCACAAGGTCCATAATACTAGGGGATTGTGTTACAACGCCAAATGGAACATCTCGAAGAAGCATGTCACATAGTAAGGTCTGCATTTGGAGAGTTTTCTTCTCTGCCAACTGTGATGCCAATTGAAGCTCCATATTAAGCTGCAAGCCAAATGCCTGTGTGAAGAATTCGCATGCATATCGAAGTGGGAAAGGCACATACCGAGGAGAAGTGTGATGACAGACAATCAAACCCCAAAGCTTCATTGAATCACCGCTATTGATAAGAACTGCCATCACCAACGACGATATAGATCCCATGTTGGCCATATACTTGCTATGGCATTCATGAGGTGATCTAAGAGTCGAATTAACCAAGCAGATAGGCTGCTTTAGTTCTTCACTCTGAACAACCTTAACAGGCTGCGCATTACAATCACATATCATCCTAACTCTGTTCTGTTTAAACAAGAAGCGAGCAGCTTGTGGGATATCTGTTGCAGGATAATGCAAACCCAAATAAGGTTCCAAGTCTGATCTCCTAATCTCAGACACAATTTCACCATGATTATCATCATGGAACTTATAGACCATTACCCTATCATATCCAGTCAGCTTCTGCACATCTTCCACAGCTGTATCACATAGAACCCCTATATCTCCACCAGGGAGTGACTGCAACCTAGATATTGACCGTACCGCCAGTTTTTGTGACTGCACTGCCCCAGCAAGCAGCAATGCAGGATCACTAGAATTAGCAGGTTCCAAATCAATCACAATGCCCACATCAATCCTGTGAAGTATAGCATAAAAGGGCTTATGGGTAGTCCTAGAATGAACCCATATAGGGTTCAACAAAGAAATTTCCCTAGAAGCCATAACTTTAGCCAATGAATCCCCTGAAGAAGGGGTAAAAAGGGTTCTAGCATCAACACCAATCAGACCTAATTTCATCTTTGTAGGGTTAAACCCCAACATATCAAAGCAATTCTCACTGTAACCTATAATCTTGAAAGTGGGTTCCTCAATAGCAACCATACAACCAAATGGTTGAACAAGCCCACCCCTCTGAATTCTTGAAAGATAAGAAGTGATTTCTTCTTCATTAGTTTCCTGTGGTGGATAAGGAACTGATTTTGAATAATCAAAAGACTTACCAGAGACACTAGACTGCTCAAACTCAGCCATTAACTTTGCATCAGCATTATACTGAGCCAGGGCAGCCTTACTGGCGTTATTCTTCATGTTACTAGCAGCAGAAGAAGTAGAAAAGCCGGAATCTTTGTTGTTGTTTTGGTTATTCTGGTTCATGGATGTTCTTCCCCCTCTTCTGTTTTTACTACTCTGTGACTCCATTTAATGGGTTCTTGAAAATGGTTTATTCTTAGAGAAAACTCAGGTACAAAGAGAAGCTGGAATTCTATCATGACTGTACTTGATTCTTCTGCTTGAGCCCTCCTTGTAGCTCCACACTGCCC